CATTTGAGTGCATTGGCATAATTTATCGTTGTGCAACATGCATGCTCAGAGGCCTTTGGTATACTTTTTTGTTGACTCATTGTTGAAAAAATTATGACCTTTTCTATTAACTATATGGAAAATGGTGGATCTTGGCTCTTTTATATCTGTTCCTTGAACGAAGGTTAAACTGAAGAGCTGTAGGCTTTTTACCAGGAGATTTGCTAAGATGGGTCTGCCTGCATGCATTTTAGGCCCATATTGCATAAAATAATGTTCATATGCTTTTAAATAACTATCAACAAAATGAGTTGAAAACGAGCTTGTTTGATTACCTTTTAATGTAGCATTGCATATTTTGTCACAGGTACAGCCTAGACTAAAAATAAATTGGGCAACATTTGCCGCTATCTCTATCTATATAAATATCTTGCCATTCTATGATGAGCCTTTGTGGTATGCAGAATTTACTAGAAGACTCTGGAAGCTGNAGTGAGTTCCAACAGCTCAGAGTTCATCACAATGTGGTCAAGATGGCCAAGAAGTGGAAGCAGAGGACACAGCAGTCTAGAGGGGAGAGACAGAGGAGAAAAGTTCTCCTGGCTATGGTACGTGGTTGAATTGATTAACTATAATGCATTGTTATTGATTCTCTAAATATAAACATACAAAAATAGATGATTATCTTTACATGCATTATTACATAGTACATGGGGTATGATTAACAACAATTTGCTTGGTTTTGAACACTACAGTTTTGGCAACACATTACAAGAAGAGCAGCTTCATAAAACTAATTTGAACTGATATCCTGGTCCACAGTTGTAAATTGAACATTGCCAAAAAAAATCATTTACAGGTTGGATCATATAATTATTGATCAGACTGTCAGAAATTATATGTTGGTCCTAAAAGAATTTGATCAGTCACTGCATCATGTCTGTAAATCATCTTTTTACAAATACACAAACTCAAACATTTGTTTAGATTTAAATATCATATACACTGCCTTTCCATTTGATAACAATTGTAGACAACGTAGACAACAAAAATTTCTTTTATTGACATTTAATTTTGTTATATGTCCATAGATAGCACAATTTGTTACTATTTTGGCGAATTTCATGGATACTGTTGTTACTGTGACTTTCTTTGTTTCGTTCTTTGATTGTTTCATTGTCATGTGACTTGGTGCACTTACAAAAACACTTCATGTTTACATGTAAAATTCTGTTATTTTCCAGGCGTTCAAGTGTTGGAGGGGCCGGCTCCAGAACAAGCTGTCTCTTAAGGGCAAGGTGTACATCCTGGGCCGTCTTTGGCGCTGGAAAGCACAAAGGAACCTGACACAGGAAAATATGGCGTTGCAGCTGCAGGACAAGTTCCGTAGACGTCAGTTGAGCCGAGTGTTTACTCACTGGAAGGAGACATATTGGAAGCTGCACTGTGCTGAACAACACTATATAGACAGCTTGGTAGCAAGGTACTGGAATTATAAAGTTTATACTATTATTATTATATCACTGTAGCACTAATTTCTGTGGAATCTTCATTCTAAATTGCATACTATTGATGTTAAGTTGTTGAAAAATTTGTGCAGTTTAAAAAATGTTAATTGACCTTCTTTGTGTCACTATGTTTTACCTTAATTATAAAGTTATTATTATTATTATTATTTTAATGTTATTATTTATTGTTATTGCAGTGCTTTCCAAGGCTGGTTGGAGTTTACAGAAAAGAAGAAAGATCTTGCTTACAAACTTCAGCTGTACTTGGACAAGAGACACACAGACCAGGTGAGAAACTCTGCCCCCCCCCTCCTCCTCCTCCTCCTCCTCTATCACTTGTTTCCAGCATCACTTCCGGATCAATCCAAAACCTAACATATAGGTATGTGTGGTGTCTTCAATTTCCCCAAGCTTTGTGAATTAAATTTTTGTTTTATAGATTGATGATATTAGATTAAATAAGGTTGTGAAAGTATGCCTCATCTTCTTGATAGCATTTGTGAATGGTTACTTTCACTACTTGAAGTCTGTGTCTGTTCACCAGAAAATCGGATCATTTGTAGATAATGATTTGTGTACATACCTTAGTCATGTTTCAGTGTTAATTATCTCTAAACATTTTCACTGCCTCACTCTGGTGTATGAGTCTGAATAAAGAAATACATACACGTTCTTAGACCATATCTGTTTCTAGTGGTTACTAGAACAAGCCTGAAAACAGCAAAAAAATCAATTGAACACATTGCTCATTGACGTAGTTCTAACCAGAGAATCCCGCTCCCTTCCTCACGCATTGTTTTTTTATTGCATGATCCCACATTTTTTGGGCTGTTTTCCATTATGTCTTTGTAGTATCTCATGGTTGAGTTAGAGACAGTTTTTAAAAAATTGGCCAAAATAAGGACAGATGGTGCTGGAATTTGTCCTCTAGATGAGAAGATGTGTGAATACTTAGTAAATACTGATGATATTAGTAGTTTGAGCCCAAAATGGGACGTTGTTATATTTGCCAGCTCCCTGCACCACATATTTTTAGAAAGAAAATACGAGTTATAAGATCAGGAGGAGAGGTAAAGTCTTGAAAGATGTATTATTTTATGACATATCGCAGTTTAGATAATATTGAAATTAAGGCTAGGTGATATGATATGAATTACTTAGGGTCAGCTGCATAATATTTCAGACTAGAAGAACTTGGCAGGTTGCCCAGGCTTGCATAACTTGGATTTCATATTTTTATCATTTTATAACACTGTATTTTATTTGTCTGAGAATGCAAAACATGAAAAGTCTTGTTGTTTTTGATGTGGTCTTGGTTTCATAAGCATGTTCTAACTTAAAACCAGCATGACCTCGGTTTTATGTTTTGTCTGTTTTTGTGTGAAGATTTACAAGGGAAAATAAATTTAATTCCTGAAAAAAAAGGACATACAGACAGTCTGTGAAGACTTGCATATATATATATATATTGATTTAAGCTGTCAGAGTCATCTTAAAGTACACTTAAAGACAAAAATAGGTACTCAACTGCTGAGATTATTTGACAAAGTTACATTATTCACGTAGAATTTTCAAGCCAGTATTGAGACATTTAAAGCCCCATGTGCAGACATTAGCATATGTCTGATCACACTGACGCCAGTGCGTCTATATTAGTCTGAGTCAACCCAGCTGTGAATGTGTTTTTAGCTTGCCTTGGATGCATAAATTATATATTTTAGTGTACTGTAATAGTACATCTGCATTTGCTGAAAGTGGGCTGTACGTGGTACGTAACGTGGTATACTGTAGTACACGTACCAGTCCCCACCACTACCAAGTGTTATTGACCAAGGTGGGGGAGTTGCTATAATAGAAAAGTAAACAATGTATTTACCTATTCCCGTTTTGTCAATGCGCCTGTAGTCTGCATAGCCAGCCATGGAGTTTGTTCAGCGAGACGTTACCTGGTGATTGAAGCACATTGTTAGGTTTAAAAAGACTGCTATTGAACAGAACTGCCCTTTGGCACTGGATCCTTGTGTGTGGACCAGGGAAAAGATTGCTGACCAAGAAACAGGACAAGTCCCCTGTGATTTTGCAATGGGACCAAGAACAAAATTCTGAAATGTTTTTCGTGCAATTTTCATACCCAAAGAGATGTGAATTTATTATGGTGTATATCCCTGTTGCCTTTTGGCACTGTGTTTAGAAGATTGCAATGTTGTATTGTAATTATTGTTTTTGTTTAATTCGACTATTTTCATATATGGCGTTGCTGATGCAAAACGATGTTCATATTGCACTAACCATAACCACCACTCTCCTTTACAACTACAATAGAACCTCACGTAGATCTGTCAAAACAACTATATCTGCTCAAGGATCACACAGCACCTCTTGCAATGGCAATCATACAGTTATTAAACGTAGCAATTTTTTCCAAGTGCTATGTTGTTATTTGCAACTGTAAGTGACTTTACAGCAGAAATGCCGTTTCCTACTTAACTTCTAGGGTTTGGAAGTGAAGTTATTGAACTGTACAGAGGAAATGAGTCATTTTTGTAGAAGCTAAGAATAAGCATGAATTGATGAACATGAAAAAATATTATTTGGGAGCTCCTGAGTTGGAGAGAGAGAGGAGGAGGAGGAGGATGACTTATTGAAATTTAAGTGAAAGGTCCATGCCTGTTAACTACATCAATATTATGTGGGTTCTGTTAGATGAAGTGTTTACTTGCAAAGGTACTATTGTGGGTTTTATGGAAGTTCACCACAAAGTACTTTTTTTTTTCAACCATACTTGGACTGGCAGAAAATAAAAGGAAAGAATTGATAAATGAAAATGTCTGCAGAAATTACTTCTAACTATTTTGCAAGAAGTTCAGAGGTTTCTACTTATGGATTGCCTAAAATATATACTGGAGGCCATGTTGATGATCCATGTGTAATCTAGGGGTTAAAGATTGCTGCTGTTCTACATTCAGCTTCTTGGTATTTTATCCAGCTTTGAAATTACTTTTCTTTTCCTTTTCCTTGGCGATTTCTCAGGATTCCGTAAGGAATTGTCAGCATAAGAAGGTCAAAACCATAAAAATTCTTCTTATGTGAAGCCTTGTATCAGTTAGTGAACCAATCCAATCTCATGAACATGTATCAGGTCAACTTGTTTTTGTGGTTAAACGGCAGTAACCAAGGGTGATATCCTTGTAGCGTTCTATTTCTAGATGTAATGACATAAAAGATTTATAGGGATTTCGACCTTGGCAATACAATCAGATTATAACTTAATAGATATTTTTAAGGGAAATGGGTTTTTCATCATTTCTTAAAAAGAAAATTGTTTTGTTTATAAGTGTTGAAGTGAAGATGTGTTCACTTTTCCATGGTAAATGTCTGTATAAATATTTTCTTTTCTAGCTTCTTAAATCACATTTATCGTGAAAAAGCTTAAAGAAAAAAGAACGTACATCAGTAGAATTTTCTTCACAATGAATATTGAAATATTAAATGAATGTTGTTGTTTGTTTGCAGACACAGGCGGGGAGAATGGAAGTGGGCAGCAGAGCGCTCATCGATAGCGTCGAGGTGGACGTGGCTGCAGGCACAAGTGTCAGACCTCGAATACCGCATACGCCAGCAGAACGATATCTATCGTCAGATCAGGGCTGCAAAAGGGCAGGTCGTCCTTGGTGAGACGCCTCAACCCGAAGATCTTATGGTCAGATATCGCCCCTCAAGGACTGGCGGGAAAAAGCTTTCTCCTATTGAGGCCAAGATCGCAGATATTGAGAAGCGCAATGAAATGTCACCGTGCAATCTATCAACTCTGCTCAATAATATAGACAAGCAGTCATCTAAATTGACACAGTCTCTTGGCAACTGTTACTCTCCTATCCAGGCTAGCCCGCTTGCTGCCACCACTGCAGCAACGGCAACATCATCAACAGCAGCAGCGGGAGCGGCACCCTCTGTATCTTCGTCTGTGTCTTCAGGAAAACATAGCCCTGCCAAACCTAACGGTGTTCTATCACCCTGTGGCGCTCAACCTGCCAGTTCTTCAGAAACTGAAACTGACAGTAGTGGTAAAAAAGTGAAGGCAGGAGACTCCTCTACCCCTCAGGGACTGGCCACCCCCTCCCCGGTTGGTTCGCCTAATCTCGATGCCACTTGCCAAGCGGCACGCTGTCGCCCTGTCAAAAGCTATAGAAAGAGGAAGTTACTGCGAACCTTCGGTGTGCATCACTTGAATCGTAAAGCTGCACGGTTGTCGACGGTGACGTGTCATTGTTACCCTCCAACGACCAGTTGTTCTTTGTGTGGTGGACGGTACAACAATGTCCAGTCCATTGACCAGTACACCATGCCAGTGCCGGAGAGGGTGGCTCTACTTGACCATTCATACCATGCTGTCTTGTCGTTCTCGCACGGTAAGTATCTTAGAAAAACTCCCATCTTTTGCTTGTCCATATGTTTACTTGCTTATTCATTGGTCTGTTTGACAAATCATTGCATTAGGTAATGCGTCTCTGTTGGAACATCCTGGTATTGATCCCTAGTCACTTTTGACACGCGTCTAAGAGGATATTCTTCTGTTTGGCTCTATTTATCTAATTTATAGCTTTTTTCCCTGATCTGAATAAGGACTAATTCTTCTAGAAATTAGAAAGGTTCGGCCTAAGAAATTGCTTCTTATAAAATTCCAAATTGAAGAAAGATTGTTTACTCTTCAAATAGAATTTGCATAACAACAGATCTACTAATTTCAACCCGTGAGTTGAAAGGTATCTACAAATGCTTTGCTGAAAAAAATTCCCAATTTTGAACATGTTGGAAAACTGTCATCATTGTTTTCATCTGCATATTCTTAACATAAAGACGGATAATGCAGATCTAAGGTTAAAATGTGAGGGAGCACTGGGATACATAATCTGAGTTGTGGCATTTAAGAAATACACTTCGAGCTGCTCACATTCCTGTAAGCTGAGAATACCAGGCCAAGCTTATGTGTATAGAACATTCCTCACCAGACTCTTATAAGTTATAGTAAATGTTATTTGGTGGGTCTAAGCTTCTCTAATCTGTAATGTTTTGCCAGTGCCAGATACCATCTTTTCCTAAGATAAAACAAGTTTTTATAAGTGTGCTGGTGCAGATTTATTTTACAGTACATCAAGACATAAGATTGAGGAAAAGATTATCAAAAGAAGACAAATTAAGAATGAAAAGGGTTTTGTTTCTTTTTTTGATGATCCCAAAAATATATTTGATGCAGATTGGTTCCTGCATTTCTTTCATATTTTGTCAAACTGCCTGACATCTAGGTCACTGGGCAACTTGGTGCAAAAATCTGACAACAGCGAAGGTCTTTTGTTGTCAGTTATAAATAAGATGGCTTGAGGCCTTGAAATACAGAAGGATAGGAGGACAGAAGGGCAGTATTTGAACTCTGGGTGGCATCTTATTAAGATGGGAACTCTTTAATGGAGAGATGATCTATTAAGCTCCTTCAGTACATTACACCTAGTGACCTTGACTTTCTTGAAAGTTTTGTTAATATTTGGTATTGACTTCTTTGTAAATGGTTGACATATTGGTTGTGTCCTATCGGGACAGCAACAAAGTAATATGTGAGTGAGAAGTTTTATTGGAATTATTGAAGCATGTCATAAACTACAGACACTATGTATTCAAAACTACCCATGAAAGGGAGAGAAAGAGAGAGAAAATCTCTGTAACAACCTTGAACTATTACCTCAATACTGAATAAATAACTCTCAGTTCACACTGGTGGTGGTAGAAGAAAAGCTGTTTGCAATGTTTGAAGAATTTGAATGGCTGCTCAATAATGAAAATAGATCTCATAGTTGTTTGCTTAGTGCAAGTCATGACAGGTCAGGCCTACCCCCCCCCCCCCTTCCCAGTCCCCCTTTGACTGAAATTTACCAGTGACAAAATATTCAGGCGCAGTATTGATTGGGTGACAAAGTTATCATTCATGTGATGGTGAAATTCTCCAGAAATTATTATTTCATCAAGGAAATCTCTCCGTGAGAGTTCACATGAAAGAAAAAAAAAAGATATAAAAGCTGCCCCCTTTCTGATCTCGGTATCGATTTAATAATTGTTCACTTAATATTCGACAGCCAAAGAAGTCAGTATGGTATTTGCTTCTCCTTTTTACTCCTGGTCTCTTCTAAAGTAAATAAAGAATTTTTGATTCACTTTTTCTACCTTTGGCATAACTCCCATTTCAATAAGAGAATGATTGCTTTTTCTCCTCCTGAATTAGGTACAAATGAACCTTTTTTCTATTCATTTTGAAAACGTCAATATAATGTGGGATTAACCCTTTGGTTGTTCTAGCTTTGAGTACATATGGAGAATGCTGTATTAACTCTTTGACCTCGACACTTGTTAATGGATTATTGATGGAGACTTATTTACTGTAAGAATTTGAATTAAAAGATGGTCTTGACTACAAGATAAAAAATTTTAGACAAGTTTGACCCAAGATTCGTCAGCTTACCTGTCAAGACAACTTTCGAAAATTTTATTTTCTCTTTGAAATTTGGTTGTATGTTTCCATTGGTTAACATAATTGAGATTTACCACTGATGGGATCTGATCAAAAATGGCTATGTAGAAATGTTATCTGGAATTACAAAGACATTGTGTTATGGAATATAAAAATGTCATCAGAATCCGTTTTCACTGGAAACATGATTTTAATCTGTAAGTTTTAAGTGTGGTTTGTTCATACACGTTTCTTAGAAGGATATTTGTTTTCTTTTGGTTCTTTTTACCTGCTACAATTACAAGTGTGTTTTTTTTTTTTTTTTTTTTTTTTTTTTTTTTTTTTTTTTTACAGATCTTTTTTTTTTAAATTTTTCT